GGAGTCTTCCAGTCTTGCACCAACCAAAGCCCCTGGGATGAGACCTCGCTGTGAGAGGGTGGCCTACCTTTACAGGTGTTTAGACAACAAGGTCCCCTGCTTCTCTCCAGGGCTGGTCTGCCCCTCCTTGGCTGGGCCACCTGAGACACGAGCCTCTCTCCTGCAGGAACCTGAGGGTATCTAGGGAGCGCTGATGACGGAGGTGACTGTGATGAGCCAGAAGGAGGTAAGTGACATTCATGGGTAGAGGGCGGATGCATAGGGACCCAGCCCCCCATGGGCCAGGGCTCCCTGCGCCTCATCTTCTTTGCTGCTCACACTTACCTTGTGAGGTTGCATTTACTACTAGGGTCCGTACCTGACAGACAAGAAACCAGGACCTGAAAAGGAAGTGGCTTGGACTCACCGTTGTACCCATCAATCCCACTCCTAAGTATGTACTCGTGGGAAATGGAAGCTGATGCTCATGCGCAAAGCTGTCCACGTTTGTAGGACAGTGATGGATTGAGTCGTGTCTCCCCAAAATAGTGCTGAGGTGGAGAAACCCTGAGGCAAGCCAATAAATCTTAGCAACAGGAGCCCATACACATTAGCAAGTCCTGTGGTCTTCCTTCTGAAAGTCCCACACGCTCAGGACACCACGTGGCTTCAGGGCCCATGAGCAGCTCCCAGAAGCCTTTCAGATGTTCACTCGGTTAAGCCTCACAACAACCTCATTCTTCTCGCTGCGTTTTTTTCCCTTATAAGATAAGGCAATGCTTAGAACCTGGCCCCACGTCTGGTCTGTCCGTAACTAGAGTCAATTTCAAGTGACACACTTGGGGAAGTGCTGGGCCTGCCGAGGGAGGGGAAGGATTTCACACCAAGGCAGCTGCAAGACCTGGCTGACCGGAAGTCAGAGGAGTGGCCCTGGGCTGGGTCCCGAAGGTGTCGGATCAAGGAAGGCAGGACACACATGAGTAAGGGAGAGTTTGCCAACGAGGAGAGCCCCAGGAGGTGGATCCGAAGCACCCGGAGATGGCTCTTGGAAGCTTGGAAGATTCTTCCTTGTCTCAGCTCATCTGCTGCACATACTCACCTTTTAAGGTGGGGGCTACTCATCCTATAAGCCAGGGGGTCTCAGCTGGGAGTTCTGAAGTAGAGGTGACAGCGTTGCTGAATCAAGTTGTGGAGGAAGAAACCCAAAGGTGCCAAGAAGTGGCCATGCTAGAAGCCGGCTACTCCATAAAAGCTGAAGTCCACCACCTTAGGAGGGCCCCAGGGGACATTCCATTTTCCCAGGTGTTAGGAATGTGCTGGTGAGGGGGTGGAGTGCCTGTCCTCTGTGGGCTGGAGCTGACGGTGGGAGGTGTTGGTATGAAATGACTCCTTGTGAGCAGTGGGCGTGGAACCTGGAAGAGCAGAGGCCAGGTGGTAGCAGGTCCCATCAGAAACAGTGGGGGTGTGATTGCTGTGATGATAGCAAACGCAGAATGGAGGTGGATAATTAAACCTGGTATCTCTAGGGATGAGATA